AGGTCCTCCTGAACATAGGATTGTTCGATGCCATTTGATGCGCAGGTAGAGATATAGTAGTAGAGAGATGAGAGGCAGAGCTGTCCCACTGGGCGTGCCAAAATATGTAAACGCGAAAAACTTGAATTGTATATATTCAAAAATTCAAAGTATCGGTTACAAGTAGTATCAAGTATATATCAAACAGAAAGGGGTACAATCTCTGTATAGGAGAAGTCCTCTGATTCTCTACTACAAGTATGCCTATTGGAAGTATGCCAAATTTGGAATATGCCAAATTGGAAGTGTGCCGGGTTCAGAGTATGCTGAACTTGAAGTATGCCGAGTTCGGGAGTATGGCCGAACTGGAAGTATGCCGAGTTCAAAGTATGTTGAACTGGAAGTATGCTGAGTTCAGGAGTATGCCGAACTGGAAGTATGCCGAGTTCGGGAGTATGCCGAACTGGAAGTATGCCGAGTTCGGGAATATGCCGAACTGGAAGTAGTTCCTTGCTGAAGGGCCTCCGGAGTTATGTAGCTTGTTCTTCAATGAAGGGCTAATATGCAGCTTGATCTTCAAAGAAGGGCTTCCGGTGTTCAAATGGCGTATTCCTTAGCGCAATATACGCAGTATATATAACTGCGGGCGTGTTCCAGATGATATCCTGGCGAGATTTCGGCAGAGCTTCGATGTGCAGATTTCCAGAGCTCTTCTTTGAAAATGAGCCCACTATATATAGTGGGGAGGGTGAGGGAAAATCTCCAACCAACTCTTAATTCCTTATTTAATTTAATTTCTTTAATTAAATTAAGGAATGTATCGGGACACTATTATGTCCAGGTTCATGATTTCATTAAATTTCCAAATAATATCAAATATTCAAATTTCTCAAAATTATATAATCCACATATAATTTTAGTGGGCCACGACCAAGTCAGACCCGCTAATTAGCAACCCAATTACTCCAAGCAGCCCGGTCCAACTCACTTAAATATTTCATCATTTCGGGCTGAACAATCCAACATCCAATTACATTTAATTAAGCAATTAAACCAATTAAATATTTAATGGGCCATTTAATTAACCCAATTAAATAAATATTAGTCCAATTAACTTAATTAAAGTAATTAATTTAATGATCAATTACCCGTCACGGTCCAACGATATTATTTAAATTTTCCAATGCCTACATATGTAATCACAAAGATACAGATTATAGGAATATATATAATGAGGGAATCACGGGGAGACTTGAATAGCGAGTCATAATCGAACTCAAATACATAGAGTCCTAATAACAATAATCAAATTATTAATGAATTTAGAATATCTATATAAAATTACTTATGATAAGAAGCGAGCTATAGTTTAGACAATTAGGGTGTGTTTGGTTCATGGGTTTACACACCAAGAATGACAATCAAAAGCATAGTTAATTAGTGTTTGGTTGACAACTTTTTAAAACACAACTATGGGATTTGATTACCCTAAAAAAACTCCATTCCCTAATTAAAAACGGGTATCATTCCATCTTATTACTAATTTGATTTTTAAGTTTAGATTAGTGTTTTAGATTTTTGTTTTGATTTTTTTTTTTTGTTTATATGTGTGCTTTGGATGTCATTATATTAGGATCAATTGTCTTAATTTTTTATTTTTGTTTTTTTTTTTTGAAAGCTTTATTTCCATTATATGGTCATACATAACCAAACATAAATATTGGTAATCATTCTAATTCCACCTTACTATCAAACATGCAAAATGCTTCCACCAAAACTCATCATAATAACTATCAAGTATTTTTTTTTATTAATTTTTGATTGCTACTGGCTCTATTAACCAATAACACCTCCACTAAAGCTCAAACTCACAACCTTTCAAATGGAAGTCCAACCCGAGTACCATTAGACCACATGGTCTTGGTAATTATCAAGTATTTAATTTTTCATTCCGATACTAATTCTTTTGTGCGAACCAAACACACGTATAGACTAGCGAATTTAACCAATTGGCACCTATTGATTTAGATATTTTAAACGGATGAAAAGTGACCATTGAATTATTATTGCAATGCAACTATTTAAGTGCTGAAAAAATATCAGTCAAGGAGACAAGTTGGCGTAGCTACATAAACAATGATTGTATCTAAACCACTATTGATAATTTGACATATAATTTTTTTTTAAATAGAAAACAAAAAGAATTGCATTTATTCAAAACAAATTAGCAATCTTAATTAAGAAGAATAAAAAGATGAACATGTTGCAATCATTACTAATACTTGGCCTCCATGTTAAGTCGTTGACCTTGTTGCTGAGATTATTATAAAATAAAATAAAATAAAATAAAAACCCACATCCCCTGCAACTTCAAGGATCTCCGATCCTCCATTGACTAAACAACTAGAAAATCGAAAAACAAATTGGCAACAAATTATAGTGCACAAATATTGAAAATAAAAAATTGTATTGTTTTTTATCCTTCAATTATTAGTCATTAGTCGATCAATGTATCCGTTCATTTTCGGTAATCAAAGATACCGTTTCCAACTACAATTTTTGCAGCAAGTAATAGTTTTTAACAATATGAACTTCTACGTACATATCCTGATATCCATAATTTTGGCCCCCTCGTTGAGATTTAGATTAAGATGATGTGTTTCATGTCACTTAAAAGTCTATTCTAACAATAAGATCACATATTTATATTTTATATTTTATATATTATATATTCATAAAATAAAACCGTAGATAAAAGAAACAAAATATCAAAAAGTCCTAAAAACTCCTAATTGCATACAAAAAAACAATTAGAAATAGAGGGTAGTTCCAACTTTTTTGAGAATTTAAGAAGTAGAAAAATGGGAAAATGGCACTTTTTCCCCCTATGTTATATACTTATAGCACTTTTTCCCCCTCAATTATTTAAGTGGCTCTTTTTCCCCCTGAAATGTTAAATGGACATATTTACCCTTAAAATAAATATTTCATTTATTTTTATTCTCCAATAAATTATTACTATAATTTGGTTCAAACCAGATACTATAGTAACCAAACCAAAATATTCCAATTACAATTTATAATCAAAACGCGATATTTAGAGTTTATTAAAATCGCGAACTGGAATGGCCGGTTCATGTTCCGAACTGAAAATATAAAATACATTTATTGTTGAATTTAAACTATTTTAAAATAAAAAATAAAATTTTAAAATAAAGACGATTCAAAATCGCGAACGGGATCCGGAACCGCCGGTTCATGATCCAGTTTTTTTTTTATTCTTAAATTTAATAAATTGAAATCCAAATATTGGGTTCTAGATCTGAATCATAACTGAAAACTTTTAATTCGATTGCTATAGTGTCTGGTTCAGTTCGAACCGAACCGTAGTAATCGCTACATATACGCAATAATTTGTTGGAGAAGTAAAATAAATAAAATGTTTACTTTAAGGGTAGAAATGTCAATTTAATATATTAGGGGAGAAAACCACCACTTTTAAAATAATTGAGGGGGCTAATGTGCTTACATAATTAATTGAGGGGGAAAAAGTGCTATAAGTATATAACATAGGGGGAAAAAGTGTCATTTTCCCTAGAAAAATTATTCTCATATATGGTAGTTTTTTATTTGAAAAAGGTCTAGGTCAATTACGAATCAGATTCTTTAAAATCAAGAAAAATAAATTCATTAAGGGTCTGTTTGGAAAGTATAAAAATGATTTTTGGAAATTTTTTCGAAAAATGACTCATTTTTCAAAAAATATTTTCCTTTCCAGTGTTCGATTGCATTCTAGAAAATATAGAAATAGATAGAAACTGAAGAATCGAAGGCAATGACGGCAGCGGAGGCAACCATGTTTTGAGTGTTGGCGGAAAATGACTTATGCCAAAATTTGGCGTAAGTCATTTTCCACAAAAATGTCTACATTCCCCTCAGTCAACGAAAAATGTTTTCCGTTGACTAAATTTTTCTAATGCATATCCAAACACTGAAAACTCAAAAAAAAATTTCAAAAGTCATTTTTCGGGTTTACAAACGGACCTCTTATTCAATTAAATATTTACTCTTTTTGGTGTCAAGTTAAAAAAAAAAAAAAAAAAAAAAAAAACTTCTCTTAGGTTATAAATATATTGTATTTGTCTGTTGTTTTACCTACGTTTAAAAAATTAATACTTAACCATTGAAAAGAATATCTCAATTTACTCATCATCACAAAAAAAAAAAAAAAAAAAAAAAAAAAAAAAAAAAAAAAGTGCATATTTTGTTGCCGAGTGCATTATGTATATATAATACAGATTTTATATTATATGTATAGTAAACAGAAAATGTGTTCTTCTAAGAGTTTAATGGTTTTGTATTAATGGTTTGAGTTAGTAATTTATGTTTATATGTGGTTTAAGGGTATATTGGTGATTTTTTAAAATTTTCCTTTCTTAGCAATTCAAGTGTTATGATTTAAGGGTAACTCCATACACATTATATTGTGGACAAGATCCATCATGCACATTGTGTATTATATTGTAGGTCAAGGTGCACATTGTGAACCTTGGTCCAAATTATGTATCAGTTAACATATTATATATTATGGTCACATTACAAGAGTTTCACCCAATCTGGGGAAAATTTAAGGGGTGTGTGTTTGGTAAATAGTTGTTAGCTGATATATAATTAGATTGTGTTAGTGAGTTGACTAGTTATAAAATTAGTTGATTGTAGAAAAATGTTTGGTAAATCAGTTGTTAGCTGATTACATGCAAAATGCTTATCATATGCAAAATGATTTTCTCAAAAAACTTATCAAAACAGCTTATTTTGAGCAGCTTTTTAAATTTTAACATTTTGGAGTAATAAGCTGTTACAAAAAGCTAACTAATCAAACACTATTTAACAAGTCAAACAACTAATAATGATCAAATAAATCAAAATTGACTAACAAATTAACTATCTATATTACCGATTGAAGGAATAAAAGTGAAATTCCTCACAATGAAAATGTAGAAGAATGATGCTAGTAAAAATGCACGAAGAATTTTTTTTTTTTTCCTTTTCTGTTTCGGTTTCTCTGGACTAACGAAAATCCGCATTGCCAAACTACACATGCAGGAGTAGTTTATATCTTACCAAGAAAAAAAATAAGATTTAGAAATAAATAAAAAAAAAACTAAATAAAAGGGGAACCAAGAAATTAAATTTAGAAAAAGAAAAAAAAAAACCAAAAAAAATAAAGAGGAAATTAAATGAATATGATCTATGGGGAGAAATTATCGGACCGGTCGAAATGGAGAAGTTGACCACAGCATTTGGGGCAGTCGTCGACCTCTTTCGGCACCATGAAATACATCAAACAGGTTTTGCAACCGGCGACTACAAGCACCGCCGCCGACGCAGTCGAAGATTCCGGCCGGCTGCTCCCTGCATGGCGGCGACGCTGAACATCCCTTGAAGATGAAAGAGTCGACGACTCTTCTGAGGAAGACCCACTTTCTTCCGTGTCGTCGTCATAACAGCTGTCACCATCACCATCATCATCTTCTTCTTCTTCTTCTTCTTCTTCTTCTTCTTCCTCAGAGTAAAACTCACCGCTGCTGTACTCCTTCGTGATTCTTGGGTCCTCCTTCACTTTCATCCCTGTTCTCCAGTTTATGTAATATACTTCCCCAGTCTGCAATATACCCAAGAGAAGAAATTAAACACCAGAAATAACAAAACCCAGAAACTTCAACACAAAAGCTTCAATCCCCCCATTCCATCTCTTAATATCGTAAAACTAGAGAGAAAATAAAATGTTGCATTATCAGTTTTTGTTTAGGGAAAAGGAAACCATCAAAGGACGAGAGGGGTCAAAAACCCAACACCCCAAAACACAAGAATGGCAAGATCTGCTTTCTTTTTCTGAGTTTGGAAGCAATTAATGATGCGATCTAGGCAGACATTGAAAAGGAGAGAGAGAGAGAGAGAGAGAGAGAAAAGGACAGAAGATTGATGACCCCAAAACTTGGTTCAATTCAGCGAAAGTATTAACTAACAGCAAGCAATTACCTCTAAATCAAGGCATTGTTCCCAATGGTAAGGCATGGATTTTTCTGAATTGAGTTCCAGAGTTGCATCCCCCACCGAAGAATTGTTGGGCGGCGTATGATGAGCGGCGGCGGCGGCGGATGAAGATGAAGAAGAAGACCTGCCGGCTCCGCCGTCGGCGTTGCTACTGCTCTCCCGGTGGTAGTTCAACGAGCAGTTCTGCAGAGATCTCTCCAAGGATGCTGTTATCGTTCCCATATCTGGACCTGCCATTCTTTTTTTTCTAATTTCCGATCTCACCAACCCTTTTAAGAGAAAAATGCTCTTATTAGTATTACCCCCAAAAACTGTCCTTCTTCTTATTATTATTTTATATTTATTTATTATGGAGTATTTTTTTTTTTTTTTAATATGTAGTAGTTGTTGTTGTTCTTGTTGTTTTCTTTAGGTGGGTTAGGAGAAAAATTAGGAAGTTCGGATATGAAACGTTTAAACTGTTTACGATATGATGATAAGATGTATATATATTCGTTTATCTTTTCAGCTATAATGTTCCTCTCTCTATATATATATCATGTAATTATTAAATTAGATTATGATTCTCTATCCCAGTTTCTGTGAGACTCTCTTTATATATATATGTAATCTGACAGAAAAAATGACGGTCAAATTTTTTAATCAAATGAATTGGTTCAGATTGATCAGAAATTTATCCATAATTATATGATTATCCGTTAACTTTTTCATTAAATATTAGTCCACCGTTAACTTATTCATTAATTTATATAAAAAAGATCTTAAGTTCGAACCTTATCACAAACAAAATTGACATAATTAGTACTCTATTTTACTCTTATTAAATTAAATATATGATTATCCGTTAACTTTTTCATTAAATATTAGTCCACCGTTAACTTATTCATTTATTTATATAAAAAAAATCTTAAGTTCGAACCTTATCACAATCAAAATTGACATAATTAGTACTCTATTTTACTCTTATTAAATTAAATATATGATTATCCGTTAACTTTTTCATTAAATATTAGTCCACCGTTAACTTATTCATTTATTTATATAAAAAAAATCTTAAGTTCGAACCTTATCACAATCAAAGTTGACATAATTAGTACTCTATTTTACTCTTATTAAATTAACTAATAATTTAGTAGCTACAACAAAAAATAATACATATGCATTTCTTTAATTTAGAAATATGTGTCTACCATGCCTTTATTCAAAAAAAAAAATATTCATTATCAATAAATTAAATAAGAGAAATAATTTCATTATTTATATTGTCTTTATTTTTCTGCAATATAAAAATTCTTTACATTCAAATTCATCAATTGATTATATTCGCTACATAGTCCCTACAATGTCTTTATTCAAAAAAAAAAATCATTATCAATAAATTAATTAAGAGAAATAATTTCATTAGTTATATTGTCTTTATTTTTCTTCATGGAACTCCATGGAACAACAATTTGAGTTAGTACAGTTAACCATATTTTGAATGAATTTCCTATATTACATTGTAATGAATCTCCTATATTACATTGTATTCATATAGTATGAGTTACATATTTAAATAAACAAATTCGACATTAAATTATTTATGTATGGCTCATATATAATCTTGCATTGATATACATTCAAATATTTATTTAATTATAAACATTGGACATTAACTCATTCGCGCAATACGCGTGTAAAACTAGTTATTTAATACAATAATATTCATGCCTGTGATGGAAGGAACTAGGTACCAAGTCTGATTCTATAGTAGAACATTAAACTCATGGTCCATAGCTTCATGCCACTCAGGATACTTGATAGCTCGAGTGTAACACGTAGGTTCCGTTGGACAAACCTGAGCAGCTAGAGTCGTAGGAGGAGCCTGAGACTGGCTGCGAGTCGCCATGGAGTGGGTGCGGATGGTTGGTCTCGTTGATCTGCGACGCGGATAACGTGCAGCCTCTATAGGTTCGGCCGAGGATGGCGTTCGCTGCACAAAATCAGCTTGTATGGGCTCATCCGGTAACATGGGCTCTGGCAGCGAATCTAGATGTACTAAATCCGAGGCAACAGGGATGACATCAGGGTGGAGAATGGATTCTGCCCAGGGAGCAATCTGAATGGGTGGTGTCTCCTACAAGGGAGGTTTAATTTAGTAGCAAAAGGAAACACTTCTTCATCAAATCTGACATGTCTGCATGTGTAAATCTTGTTAATGTATAAGTCCATACACCTATATACCCCCTAAAGGAATCGGGATACCCTAGGAAGACACAAGAAGATGACCTGTATGACATTTTATGATGATTGTACGGTCTTAAGTGAGGATAACATAGGCAACCAAAGACACGAAGAAAGGAATAATAGGGAAGAGATTTATGCAGCATGAGGTGAGGACTAGAGTTATTTAACACAGAGGATGACATTCTGTTAATTAAATAGACAGTAGTCTCAAATGCAAAATTCCCAAATTTTAGAGGAACAGAGGCATGAGCTAAAAGTGTTATACCAGTTTTAACAATACGTCTGTGTTTACGTTCAACACGATCATTCTGCTCATGTATATATGCACAAGATTGCCTATGTTGAATTCGTAACTAAACAAAGGAGGCATGCAATTTTTTGTACTTAGCAACTAGATCAGACTGAATAGATTTTATTTTTTGGTTGAAGGACCTTTCAACAAGAACCCAAAACTTATCAAAGATGACTAGAGATCAAATTTTAATTTCATAGGGAATAACCATGTGTAACGGGAATAATCATCTATAAAGATTATAAAGTAACGATAACCAGTTGTAGATAATATAGGAGCTGGGCCCCAAATGTCTGTATATATTAAATCAAGAACATTCGAAATAGAAGACACAACGCGTGACAAGGGAAAACGGGCAGACTTACCCAATTGACACGCATTAAATAGACCATTATTACAATGAATAATACTACTAGACCCACTAACTGAACAAGATTGAAGAATATGACTAAGGACACGATGATGAAGATGACCTAGACGATTGTGCCAAACTGATGCAGAGGCACGAGCGAAAAGAAACGTTGAGCGAGACGAGCTTGGAAACAGTAGTGTGTATAGCCCCCCATAGTTATTGCCCCGAAGCATAATTTCCTTGGTATTGATATCCTTCAAAACAAAAAAAGAGGGGTCAAACTCAAAGAAAAATTTATTATCTGATGCAAACTTTTAAACAGATAATAAAGAATTTGACAAACTAGGCACGTGACAAATATTAGACTATTTAAAGGATCTGGATGGGGTATTAAAGGAAGCATGACCAACATGACTAATAGATAAATTCATAGCGCCACCGACACGCAAGGTGTCATTAGCAATATATTCCTCCGAGGTAGAAAGGGCAGCAATATCTGGAGTTACATGATTAGTTGCACCAGTATTCGGGATCCACATCTGAGAACCACCAATATCTGAACTATTATTCTGATAGGTAAATTGGCTTGAGCGGGTGGATCATAGCGATTGTAACATTAACTGCCTTGTGCCCAGTCCACTTGCAAATCTAACATTTAACCTAATTACTTCCACTATTGTTGTCGCGACTGCAGCCACCACGCCCACAACCGCCTTGCTGCCGACCACCACCACCATGATGAGAGGTGTCATAATCCAGGCTGGTGATGAAATCATGTGCTTCGAGGAAGTCCGCCAACTCCTGGAGCGTCACCGGCTGACCACAGACGGCGAGTGAAGCGGTTAACGCACAGAACTCCGGCCGCAAGCCGTGGAAGACGAACAGATTTTGAACGTCAAGACTCATCATCCGGCTGGCAAGGGTGAGCTCTACAATGATAACCTGAGCCCGACCAATGTAGTCCACAATGGAGGAATCCCCTTGATCCAAACCCTGCAGCTGGCAAAGCAAATTCAGTGTGCGAACTCGAGAGGACGACGACAGAGCTTGCACGACGGCTTCCCAGAGTGTACTGCTCGTCCGACGACCGACAGCCAGAGGCATCACCGCATGGAGAGAAGCGCTTGGTCTTGACGCATCCATGCAGCGTAGGCAGGGTTCGGCTGTGGCAGAGTGCTCTCATCGGCAGCAGGAAGAAGCACCGATGGAGAAGGTTTTGTGCCGTTGGTGAAGCTCATCATGTCGTGCCTAGGGATGTAAATGAGCCGAGCGGCTCGCGAGCCGCTCGGTCAAAGCTCGGCTCGAGCTCGAGCCGAACTCGAGAGGCTCATTTATTAAATGAGCCGAGCTCGAACTCAAATATTCTAGGTTCGTGGCTCGTCGAGCTGCTCGCGAGCCATAATTAAATAAATAGATAAATATTATATATATTGTAAGGATCAATGACTGCTATTGACTTGTAATTAAAGTGGAGTTGTAAACTTGTTTTGAGTGTTTGGAGTCTTTAAATATTGAAGTTTAGACTTTTGAATTTTTTAAAAATTTTTTTTATTTATGTATGGATAAAACAATGTTTATTATTAATCGAAATATGAATTCAAATAGGTCAAAATCAAGCACGAGCTCGAGCTGCTCGAAAAATTGCCCAGCAGAGCTCGAGCATCATTTTTCGAGCTCGATCAAACTCGTTCCGAACCATGCTTATCGAGCTCGAGCTCGAGCTCGAGCCAACCCATGCTCGAGCTCAGCTCGGCTCATTCACACCCCTAGTCGTGCCCATAAAGGAAGGGTACAAACTGCATTTGCCAAAACAAAAAATTCTTGTAGGTTAACTTGGTACTTATAAAGTGGTGAGTGGTGGATAGCGGAGATACGATTGAAGAGACCGATGAGACAACATCATTAGAAACGGTTCGTTCAAACGAGTTAATATATCCGTCAGCCATAGGAAAGAAAACCCTAGCTTACTGATACCAGATGAGAACTGTAATAATTGTATTGAATGAGATGATTACAAAGAGTACAGACAATGAGAATATATACAATGAAGAGGCACAGGATGACGGGATAAGAAGTTATAAACTGACTCAAATACATAGAGTCTATGTTTGGCAAACCTAGCTGAAAATGTAGCTAAAAGCTGAAAAGCTAGAAGCTGAAAATTAAAGAGCTGTTAACTAGCTGATTATGCTTTAAAATGTTTGGTAAAATTAACTTTTTGATAAGCTGATAAAAGTAAAAAGACTAAAAAGACATTTTCATAAAATTTAAATGATGTGATAATTATATTGTTTTTATATTATTAAATATATGAGATATATTTAATTTATAAAAAACAAGTTTTTGTTTTTATAATATATATGAGATATATATTAAATTAAAACAAAAGAAAAAAATTGATAAGGGTAAAATATGTTATTTATTTATGAACAGACGATTGGAGTTAGAAGTTTAAGGAGTTGCCCGGTGGTGAAGAAAAAAG